CTCGTTGTGCCTGACGAGCCCGGCCGGATGAGCGAGCGGCCGCGAGCTATCAGCAGTTATCGTGGCAATGGCGCGGACATGCCGACGAAATGAAAAATAAAAATGGTACAACGAATTTATCAAACATCCGCTTCCGGCGAAACGATGACGACAAAAAAAACCAAAAAAAAGGGCGACAACGAACAGAGGCAGAACAGGACTAACAACAACCACTACACGAATGAGACACGGATGCTGGGGATGAGGACGAAGGACACGCGGACATTTGTATATTCCGCCGGGCCAATTTGCAGCTCAAGAGCCGCCGGGCAGACAGGCGGGCAGACAAATAGACAGACAGGCAGAGTCAAAGTCTGAGTGACAGGCACAGTCATTGTCTCAGGGTGCACAAATAGATGTACTATATAAAAATTATATATATGTTCTATATGTTTTAGCCGCAAATCACAAAAACAAATTGTTTATTGTTTCGTAATTGAAGCGGCGGGTTTGTCTGCTCGTGTATGTGTGTGTGTGGGTCGGTGTGGGTGTGTGTGAGTGAGTGGCAGTTTGTGGTGTCACTGTCGTGTCAAAAGTCATCGCCATGCGTCTCTCGTCTCTTCGCATCGTCTAGTCTCTCGCCTGCCAACTAAAAATATTTAGCTAAAAATGTAAATGTGCTGGAAGGAAGTGGAAGGAAGAGGAGAAGGAGCGGAAATTATTGGAGAATGTTTTGAGGTCTGGCAAGCTAGTTGCCACATCAACTCTGGAGACGAAAGCAACAAGCTCCTCGGAGACATCATCCATCTGCTGTCATCTCGCATGGCGCACTGGGTGCATCATCTCATCATCTCGGCCTGTCACTTGCACTGACGAGCATTGTAATTACAATTATTATAGTCTATCAATAAAGAAGACAAGAAATATGATGATGAAATAAACATAGTTCCTCAATCTTCTTTTACAATGCCCTTCAACTAACATTCTACCTTCTCCTGTTCTTATCTCCTTTGTTAAATCACTTGCTTTTCTATCATTATAGCTTTTCGGTTATACGGAATACGCCCAATTCGTACCATTTGGGCTGCAATTGGTTTTTCAATCTCTATCAAAAGTGAATAAAACTTTCTTAGCTTTTTAACATTTCTTAAGAATGATTATTCAATCATTCCTCTTGTTCCTACTACTTTTCTCATTTACTTTTCAACTTCTCCCATTGATTATCTTTTCCTCACATACATACTACTGTATTCTAGTCGAGCTTCTTTTCGCGCTCTTTGGCCCATTTGTTTGTCTTTCGTTTTGTTTCTTGAACCTTTTACTTATTTGTCTGCTTGCGAAACTTATTCCATTACCCCAAAATCCTTGCCACATTTCGAATTAAGCTAATTGCCGCAATGTAAATAAATGCCATGCCATGGAAAAATTAAACAAAATGCGGGGGAAAACAACATTTTATTTAAAATTTCAAAACACTTTGCATAGCTCACCCACCCATGTACATAAATTCATTCTAAGGAGCTGTTGAGTTGCCCTTCAGACCTTTGTTGGAGTGGGGACTTGTTGAAGGAGGACTGCTGGCATTCCTAAAACTGAATCAACAAAAAACTTTATTAAACAATGTAACAATTACATTTATTCACTCTCTCTCACACACACACACACACATACACTTTCACATAAAGATTTAAAAACATTTTACACCTGTGGCGTATTTTGCCAACTCATCCAAGCAGGTAGCTCCCTCCCTCCCTCCCCATCTCTCCTAGCGACGAGTCCTGCCCACACATGAAATGGTTGCTCCCGCAGCTGCTGCTGCTGCGTTGGCGCTTTTCTCGTGTATGTGTGCGTGTGTGTGTGTGTGCGTGTAAACAAGCTGAAAATTCATTAAACTCGAGCAATAAATTCTTTTAATTGTTTTCTTCTTCACCGTAGCAGACAGACAGACAGACAGACACAATTCCCTTCATCAGCTCAATCGTCTTTTTGCGCATTTCGTTTTTGCATTTCTTTGCTTATCTTTTGTTTAACAACAGTAACTGTTCTTATTGTTTAATGTTTTACGTGATGCGCTTGTTGTTTGGCATCTCTTTGGCGTGGTTAGTCTGTCGTGTGTCCCTTCCCCCTCCGCCACCACCACCGCCACCACCTCCTCCACACACTCGCTCACTATTTTCCCATTGCCATTCAGCACATTTCCCTTCCACTCCCTACCTCTTCATCTCCCTCCCTTCTTGCGATTAATTGTTTTCAAATTTTGCAAGAAGCAGCAGGAGCAGCAGCAGCTGCTGCCCCAATGTCTGCTCATTAGTGGAATGAATGAAGGTAGCGAGCAGGAGAAGTCGCTGCCACTTTGACAGTTGCCTCATTAATACAAGTGTGCGGAGCAAATTCTTTAAAGAGTATAACCTTTTCCACACTGAAACAAACTTCACAAATTCGAACAATCAACAATATTCCGAAGCCCATATCTTTTTCTGAGAACTTCGTTAATTGAGTAAGTGCCATTGGCCATGAATATTTAAAAGCTAAGAAAGCCTGAAAAGTATTTCAAAAGAATTGACGAAGCTAGTGACCAAAGGGAGGCTAATGAGCTGATTTTCATGGCTAGGTGCTGGTTTGATGGTAATAAGGATATTCTATTCTGCTGTAAAAGTAATTATATGGAACAAGATTGTTTAATTAAACTTTTTCCAATGTACAAGTACAAAAAGCTCAAACAAAATAAACTAACATTGTCATTATACTTGTATATATCTGGATGGAATGTATGCTTTTAATTCCAATTTTAAGCAGAGAAAAGTAATGACCGGTTGGAAAGATGTTGTGTGATTTAAAAATGATTGGTTCAGTTTTTAAAATATTGTTAATATTGTTGTGGCGAAAACAGACATATGTATGGAAACTTCAGTAGCATACTATAATTATCCAAATCATTCATCATAGCTGATTCATAGATGGTTTTTAAAGCATAATGTGAACGTGCTTGTCAATTTCGGAAATTTCTATCCTTAATGCTTGAAAGATTGTTCAAAGTGCTGCAGAATAAGAATTTAATGTGTGACTAGTATATTAATTTATAAGAAATCTTCTTGTCGCACTAGGAATTAATAAATAAATAAATAAAATGTGACACCTATTATTTAGTTTCTAATAAACATTACCAAACTTTTTCCTGACAAAACAACCATCTGATTTAAGCCAAACTTATTGAAATGTATTCTCGTGTGGCTGCTATTCTTGTTAAAATTTGCTGTGCAAACCATTTGCTTGTGTGATCATAAATCTATTTCACTTGAATGTGTGGCAGCATTTGAAATACTATAGTTCCAATATTTGGCCAGCACAATTTTGTGAAACGTTTCATTAAATAAATAAAAAATAAAATCATAGCATGTATAGTGTCTGATAAAAATTGTTTGCAATTTTATTTTCAAAATTGTAAAGCAATATTAAACAACCATAATTTTTGAGGAAATTCCTCTCATTCATAGTATCAAGCAATGCTTTGCTCAATATTAAGCAAATCTACTTTATATATATATATAGATATATACGAAAAAGCAGTTCTCGAACTTAAAGATTGAAAGCAATTGAGCCATATTTTTTCTTCTTGTTTTTTCTCATTTGAGCAGCAAAATTGACTTTATATCTTCATTATCTTTTGCCTTAGCAGAGAAATTGCAGTTATTGATGAAAGCAAAATGCAAACATTTGTAAAAACTTTATTCTTTTGCGCATTCTGTGCCTTTCATATCATTTATTTGCAATCTATATGCAGGCCGTCCTCTCCGTTCATGGCGCGTGCACAAGATGGTGGCCACAACTGGCGAACTACTGCTGGCAAATAAATCTTTATTACTTGATTTTTAATTTCAGTTTTATTTGAAGGCAACCCTACAAGCATCTCAGTACCATCTGGCACACAAACATTTCGATTATTTACTCATACCCTCATACCCAATGAATCCCTGTCCTGCAAATTCTTTTTCAACAACAGCTTGCTGGTGTTTATGCTTAATTGGAATAGTGGAAGAAGAGATATGCTGTATATAGTAGTATAAGTAGGCTTTTCAACGATAAACATGACACTATATATAAGTACTAGCAATCTCTCTAGAAGAACAATTTTAAGTTCTCTCGTGTGAGGACATAACTAAGTCATTTTAACTTTACTTTTTTTCTTTTCTATATTAATTTTGCTTTTGTTATTACAATAACTTAAATTAATGTGTTACAAATAAATAAAAAAAATAAAAAATAAAACTAAAAAAAAGATTAGGTTATTAAAAATTAAACACTAGATATGTATGTGGGGGAGATCAATAAGGTGCCAGCAAGTAGCTCAAAAATCGGTGATACCATATCTTTATTAATGTGCTTATTACCGCAATTTATTAATGATTTCTCAAAAAATGGAACTCCTCCTATATTCCAACTTGCTGATGAGCCGCGTTTATATTAATTAATACATAAATGTATACTTTTATATAGTATATTTTGCTTCCAACCATAAGGTCTATTACTATTTTATAATTTCAAAAGTAATTTTTTTTTAAACACATTTTTGATTTTGACAATTCCAAAATAAATTTCTTTAGATAAAAAAGTATTTTCAATTCTCACAAACGATGATCATTTTAAGAGGCATTGCTCTATGATGGTAATTAATTATCGTTTATAAATATTGTTGAACTTTAATTTAAATATAGTTTACCCTCTGGTCGAAAGCTGAACATTTTCAAGATGATTTATTAAGTTTTGGAATACGTTATAATTGTGGAAGCTACTATTATATTCTAAATAAAAATGTGTGGTGCTTAGAGAAGAGAAAAGTCAAGAAATGTTGTTCAATTAGCAGCCACCATTGTTTCAATATTGTTAAAGATATTTATGAGTTGTGTGTAAAATATTTGTGTCACTGTCGTAATGACACCGCCTGCCATACCAAATACTTAGTGCTAATGAGTCCTGCAGCTGGTCAAGTCAAGCGAACTAATAGCTCCTCTTTCTACTTACAGGTGTCGACTGCATCGATTTATTTTATGTTGTAATTCGAGTACTTTTGGTAAGTATACAGAGGGAGAAAGAGAGAGAGAGAGAGAGAGAGAGAGGGAGAAAAGGGGGATAGAAATTACTTATGAATAAGTTGCTTGAAGGTAAAGTGGCACAGTCAATCAATCGGTCAATCAGCGCTGTAAGGCACAATGCCTGAATGGCCAAATGGAAAATGCATGCTAAGAGCAAAGCTGAACTGAACAGAACTGAGCTTAGCCGAGCAGAGCTAAGTAAAGCAAATGAAAGTAAAGTATTTCGAGAATCGAAGTCGCATTTGCATTTTCAGTTTTTGCAATTTGTGTGCAAAGTTGAAAAACATGCTACAGAATAGATTGGCGGACGGCACAAGCAACAGAACAGCAGCAACAACAGGACTTGCGACTTGTCCTGCACTGTACTGATTGCTTGCATGTACACACACACACACACCCACGCACACACACACACACACACACACACACACACACACACAGACGCACACACAGACGCACACACCAAAAGGCAATAAAGAACAAGTACAACGTTTAAGACGCAAAGGATCGACTCATATATACCCTTCACCTACAACTGTCCTACAACTAATATAAAGTTTAAAGCATTAATCGTATGGAAGTTACATTATATAGTAAATAGATTCAGATAATAGAGCGGCATTATAAAGAGCTTATAAATCCAACATTTGGTTAAGTTATCTTAATAAAGCTATAAGATATAGTTTACCGATTTATAAGAAACTTGAGATTACGATGAGGTTTTGTACAAATCTTATAAATATTCAATTTGGTAGTGTTATCGTGATATCGTTTTTGGCACCAACAGTACTATTTGAACCAATTATTATACCTATGTAAGCTATAGCCTATACATAGAGCACAAATTTTGATGCGCTAGCAGGAAATCCACAATGCAAGTTCGTTCCTAAGTGGTCACTCGGTTCGAAACACGCCAAAAATCTCACAGCTATCTTAAAATTTAATAATGGTCCAACCTAGGACAGATCTTAAATAAAGGTAAAAGATTTAAAAAAAAAATAAAACTTTGGAATAAGACATTAATTTAAACTTATGAATACCAATTTAGTTTAATGCAATATGATAATAAAGAATCATGTTCTTGGTATGAATTATTAGCCAATAATTATGGAGAAATTCCTATATGGTTTATAATTTAATGCAATATACCAATAAAAAAAACATGTTCTTGGTACCAAGAATGATTTATCAGCCAGTATTTATGGAGAAGTTCCTATATGGTGTAGATTTTAAGCCAAACAACAAATAAAGAACCATGTTCTTGGTACTAAGAATGATTTATCAATCAATATGTATTTATGGAGAAATTCTTATAAAACAAGTTCACAAGTTCTCGAGGTTAATACAGACGGACGTGCAGACTTGTATGTCTATTTGGATTTGTCTGCTGATCATGTTATATAAGTAGTTTATATCCTCCTCTTACTGCATATTACATGCACTCTGACTTTTTAGTATACCCTTTCGCCCCGCGGGTAGAGGGTATAAGAACAACATCGACATAAAATCGTAAATGGATGAGGAAGCTGCCTCTACGTACGCGTCTGCCTTCACCTCCACCAGAGCTGGACCTCCACTCCGTCTCCGGTTTAAGTCACAATTTCAGTGGCGGTAACAGTTACAAGTTTTTTGCTTGTGGTGTGAGCGAGAAGGAGCCCTGACCCGACCCGCCCCTGTCCGACTGGCCTTATAATCAGCAATGGAATTGCTATCATTTGTACAACATAAAACTCTTATACAAATATGCAGCACAAGTCTCAATCAATACTTCTGCTCTACTCTAATGGCGAGGCATTAAAGCGGAACACAAAAACAATTTAGTTTGAAACTTTTCACTTCATAGACAACAAAGTTTTATTTTACTTGCAAACTGACACACACACACACAAATCTGTGCCACAAAATCTTTGACTCTGATATGGCGCCCCTTCCCCCCTCCCATTCACGTCAATGCCAGCTTCTTGGCCTTCGTTGGACCTTTTACCCCATTACGTCCCAAAAATTGATTTTCTTAATCAAATTTTGATTTAAGCAGCTTCATATCTTCACCTAAAAGTATTTATTGATTACTTATTTTTGTAATTAATTAATTGATGCAATTTCAAAAGAGCTTCTTAGCTACGCTTTTTTTTTGGTATCCTATTAAACCACTTATTTAACTTTCTTTGAAATGAAGGCTATTTGTTTAATTATATTTCGATGTAATGATTATTTTCAATAACAAAGGCTGTATTCAAAATATCAAAAGATCATTTATGAAGAGCCTGAGCCTTAAAATGGAACTAATTTGGATTTATTGAAGTTTTTTCATTGATCATATGCATAAATTTTTTTTTTTTAATGCATCGTGCATTAATCAAAATTTTAATTTCATGGAAAGGCATACAAAAGTCCGACCCATCGTGAAAACTTCAATACTTTTCAACTTGAGGAGCGTTGGAGCCAGAGTTGCTCACACAAATAAATTTTGTGCTTTCCCAGCAATGCTGCAATCCTGTCCGTGCGTGATGGCGCGTCAAAAGCCTGAAGCATACCAGTTGCTTCCTTTTCACGAGGGATGTGTGCGTTAGTTTCCTCCCTTGGCAGCTCATCTGCAATGCAGTTTCCCTCATCAGTTCTCTCACTAATATTCAATTACCAGCATTTCCTTTCCATTTCCATACTTTGATTGGATAAATGTCATTCCGTTTCATGAATCGGAAATCAATACACACAGTTACATATTTCTATGCACTACATGCAAAATACTATACATATTTTATTCTAATTTTAAAGATTTGTAATATTTCAAATTGTATTTAAATTAGTTTGCATCCTAAAAGTCCATTTGCAAAAGCTCATTTGGATGACAAGACATTAAAAAAAAATTAGAAAACATAGAAACATAGAAAAAAATTTATCAAAAATACTGATTGCATTGCATTTTTATTATTTTTTATTATTTTATTTTATTTTTAGTAATATTTTAAATTGTTTTGCATCCTAAAAGTCCATTTGCAAAGGCTCATTTGGATTATACAATTTTATTCCTTAAGAAAAATTTTTTCAAAAATACATTGCATTGCATTTGTATTACACTAGCAGTTATTGGCCGTCGTTGTAGGGCTAAGAACTTCTCTTGATACAAATATATATTTAGTTGTTCGTTATCCTACAAATGGAAGTATGTACATATGTATGGTCCATATAAACTCCGAAACCACTCAACAGAATTTGATAACATTTTCTGGCCATATTCAAAATAGTCCCGTGGCTGATCCTGTAAAGTTTCGTTGTGATTGGATAAACAGAATTTGTTTTCGATTTTTTAAAATTTTTTTCAAGAATTTTGGTTTTCTTTATAAATTACTCCATTAATCAATTTTTTCAATTTTCACTTAATTTTTTATATTTTATTTTTAATATGAAAAAAACGAATTCAGTTTACAGCGGACCAATAGATCAATAAGAATAACTATTAGGGCATAAAAATAATCCAGCATTTATGAAATACATATATGCATACAAAACCAGTAAATCCGAAAGCTAACACAAGCCGAGTACTTTTTTTATATACATACATATATGTTTCCCTTCCCACATTAATACTACTATGTGATATATCCAGGTCAAGGGACATTTGAATCTTGCTTTGTTAGGCATTCAATTTCTTAAATTAAATCGCGTCTAAAAACAAATGCAAAATACTCTTTCTTAGAGTATAGAAACCATGGATTAGAAATTGCAGATGTTTTATAAAAACATTGTTCTGTCTTTATTTTTGGATGCTTGAGCATAACAGAGAGAGAATTGACTAGCATTGGTACTACTAGTTTATCTAATCTGTGTGAGCGTGTGCTCTAAAATTACTTTTTATTGCCCTCACGCATTGCATCGCAGCGCATCGCAACAGCTTCAAAGACCAACCTTGAGTCGCGAGCTGAGCCCGAGGCATATGTTGCCTATCTTACGCATTGCCTTGACAACCTGACGCACACCTGCGCCTTGGACGACTCCCTCAAGCCCAGCGGGGGCAACAGCTGCAGATCTGCTGCGGCTCAAGTGGAAGCCAATTATATGGCTGAGGCTTATACATATAACTTTTTGATCAACGCAACGACGCACAGTGGGGCCTTAGGCCGAAACAGCTTGCGAAAATCAAAATTTTCATGAACGCTTTGGGAGTAATGAATAAACGTGTCTAATAGTTTTTTTTCCAAAGATTACGAAAATCTTACTCTCAAAAAAATCGGAATTATAGTTTAGGACATATGTGCACTCAAAGTCGACCCTTTTTTAAGCTCGCAACAATTAATTCAATTTGATGCAAATACTTCATCTTTCAGGTATAATATTAGCTAAGTTATGAAACGAATCATTGATGTTTTGATTTGTATTGCTAGATGAATTAATTTTATGCATTATTTAATAAAAACTATGTCTTTCGTATTTGTAGTTATCTAGAAAACGTTATTTTTTAAACTACCTATTTTTAGGGTGTTTTTCAACTTTGATGGAAAATACAAAAAAAGTACCCAAAAGTACCTCGCCCATATTTTTAAAATATGTTCTCTAAATATGCTTTTACCTAACGCAATAAAACTTTCATCCGCCCGGATCCGCCGGTGTGCACCAGAGCAAAAAGAGTGCCGCAACTTCGGAAAAAAATCAGCGAAAAAGGCGCTGCCGCGGGTATAAGAAGAAGAATGCATTGCAGGTAGATTCGCAGTAACGGCTATTAGGAACATTGTATTTAGCATTATGGATACAAAAATATACCTAAACGGTCCTATTTGATCCACATTTAATATTGTGCAACCGAAATTATGCATAACATTTATTACAGGTAGTGTAATTTACAATATCAGGTGAAGGTCTTGCAATCTTTTTGACCCTTTCATGAATTGTAATTTCTTTGCTTTAAAGCATTTGAACAGGCAAAAAGAGGTTTTAGTTTATTATCTTAGGTATGCGTTTAGAAATGGTATATATTGCCAAT